TCGTATGGAAAATGCACAGCCTGTTTGTCAGTACTCATTATCATGTATTTAGTTCTATCTATAATTATATAACTATTTAAGTACTTTAAAAATTAATAGATTACTGAAATAGTTATATAATTATAATTAATATACTAGAACCAAAATTGTTAGAGAAAATAAAATACTTTCATAATATATGATCGAAGCGATCCATGAAATCATTGTTTTTTAGATTTTAAATAGAAAATGCTACAAAAATATTTTACAAAATCATGTTTAATTCAAGAGTTACTTTAATACTCCTATTGAGTCCATTGATCACGTACGCTTTAACATATAATGGCACAATGTGTATTGATTGCACGCAGGAAAACAAGGATAAATGCCACATTTCAAAAACCGGATACGAGTGCTTTGACCGGACGAGTCGAATTTATGATGAGGATGTTGATTCATTCTTTGGTTTAAATCGAAATCCTCCAAGTACTTTTGATTTGGATACATGCATTCCGCCGGAATTGGACATTCCGTGCATTCAGAGTATGATCAATTTATGAAAATATAATTTTTATGTTGCTCCAACTGAATTCTTTTAAAATTGCAGAAGAAAACTTTAAATATGTCGTCGTTTGGTCTAGTGAAATTGGATGCCAACTGGTACAAAGGGATTACGACGACAAGGAGTTGTGTTTCACTGCCAGACAAGTTTGTCCGTGCGATGAAGATGAAAACGGAACAGTTGGAATCAACGAATTGAGCATAATTATAAGCATATTCTACCTACCACTAATATTGGTTCTTAAGCTTTACATGCTCAATTTAAATTACTAAATGGCATCTGTATAATCATTATCAACTTTTACAAGTCTGCTAGTTTTTAGGTCCCTCAAAAAATAATTTTAAATTTATAAATTTGCATCCTGTCTTTAATAGAGTAATATTGAAAGACTTGAACACCTTAAACAACTTCAATTAACTCTAAAATGTTGAAAACTACGATAGAAAACTGTCATGAATTTTATATCCTAACATGTAAATCTGCATTAAAATTCGAAGTATTTTTTAAACCAAATGTGCAGAATATATTCCGCCTTGAACTCTGAGGAGGTATGACAACGGATTCTAAGGATGTTAGTATGGGTACGGATTCTGATACTTCAATTAGTAACAATTAAGATGTTCATATGCATTCCTGTGAGATTGCACACTAAAGGTATTAATTATACAGATAATTACCAGTAAATTACAGTTGTATATTTTTCCTGAACCTTGAATCAAATAAAAACACCTCTTAACGAGGTAAAAAACTAGTGACGACCGCACCTTCAACATACAAAAGTTCTGATATCAACATTTGTGACGAAAAATTATTACACTCGTCATTAAATAGACTTTCTAATATTTTCTCATTCGGCCCGCCCTAGCAAACTATTCCAGCCTTTTTCCCCTTACAGGCATTTTCTATTGCAGCGTGACGAATGAGAAAAGATTAGAAAGTCTATTTAATGACGAGTGTAATAATTTTTCGTCACAAATGTTGATATCAGAACTTTTGTATGTTGAAGGTGCGGTCGTCACTAGTTTTTTACCTCGTTAAGAGGTGTTTTTATTTGATATCAGAAGTTTTTGTTTGTTTACATTTGCTCTCATAGGAGCTAATATATACATTTAAATTTAAATTGGTCAATCATAATTTTTAAACTATTGTATTTTAACAAATTAAGTTAAAAAGGCGTTGAAGTATTTCAAAATACCTTTTAAACGAGGTATAGTACATGTCTGTACCTTTAGTAGTGTAGAACTTACAAACTAACGAAATTTAGCTATTTTTAGCTTTTTCCCGCTAAAGTAGCGGCTTTTTCCAAAAGTCGTAGAACAAAAGATTCCTATATGGAACTCTTAAGTGCAAATTTACTGATTCCATGACCCTAAAGTACAGTTCGGATACCCTCCCACAAAATTCAATACTCAGGGAGCGTTAATTGTTCGAGCTGGCAAAAGTGGCTATTTTCGAATAAAAATAACTTTTAAACGTGACTTTTTACAGTAATGTGTTATATACCAAAATTTAAGGAATCTCAAGGGCTATACAGTTTAAGGTTTTAAAGAAAATCGTTAGAGCCGTTTTTGAAAAAATTATAAAAAAAGCTAAAAAAAAAGTTTTAAAAAATTGTCTTTTGTTCATATTTTTTTAAGTATTACATTTACACAAATTGCATATAGAAGGCGTTTATAGCATTTAAAAATACCTTTCAAACGAGATGCAGCACAAGCCTGTAGCTTTAGTAGTATAGAAGTTACGGCTTTCCGAATTTTAGCTACTTATAGCTGTTTTCCCGCTAAACTAGCGGGTTTTTCCAAAAGTGGTAGAACAAAAGTTTTTTATATCGATGTGATGAACGTCATATCAAATTTTCAGAACTTAAAAAACATATTTTGGACAAGTGGACAAGTGGACAAACAGAATTAAATTTTCATTTTGGGAAGAAGAAGAAAATCTTATTTTGGCTACACTGAGAAAACTTGAGAACGAAAAAATCAAGAACGAATGTTCTTGATTTCAGTATTTTGTCTTCTCACTTTTTTTAGCACAAACGTTCTTGAAATCAAGAATAAAACCATTCTTGATCTGGCTTTTTGAGAATACATCGTTCTCGATTTCGTTTATCAAGCATGAACGTTATTGAAATCGTCCCCAAGCATTCTTAAAATCGTTCTCAACTTCGTCTCAGAGATGAAAAAAAATGAGAGAGATAAAAAATGAGAGAGACATTCTCTCTGGAATTTTTCGGCAAGCTACCGAAGTTCACTTCGGCTCTCGTCAAATGCTCGTTTTTTTCGGCCAGTGAAGCGGAGTACGCACGCGGACGACACACGTTTAAAGAACCTTCCAGAGGAACTAGATATTTGGAGTGCGCTCCCCTTCCTCAAACGTAAGTATTAATAAATACCTTAGTGTAATAATAAAAATAAGCTATATAATAAATAAATACTTCGAATTTGTATGTTTGTGAAAAAAAGTGACGCCACGCTAAATGCATCTATGTATGTATACATCATATGTGTGTTTATGCAGGAGCGTGCTTGCGCTTGTAAGGTTCTGTTCTAAAAAAGTAATATGAAATAATACTTTAACTATTTTTAGGCGCTGGAGTGTCTTCATGGACAAGGAGATCAATGAGGCGATTCCGCCAATTGGTTTACGTATTGTGTTCCGGGAGAAGCTGTTCGCAAAACTCGAAAGTATGTATATATATAAATAATATACAATTTGTATTATTTATTGTTATTTAAACTATATATAAATTTTGCAGTTTGTGGGACGTAATCAGGCAAAGAGCGAGAAACAAACATCGCTGATTGGTATCGATCCACCTAGAGGAGGTAGCACGCTTGGCAAGGTACATTTTAAAATTATAAAACTTTATATTTATTGTACGTTTTATGTATGTTACTTAAATTTATTCGTACTTACTTAATAATGATAAGATTGCTGTTAGACTTAAATATGTTTAGTTATAAGTAATTTGTAACTGTGTTATATCTATAATAATAAATAGAAAATTAATATAATAAAAAAAGTGAATATATGAAATTTTTAATTTTTCTGAAAAATTCCTTTTTGGATCAAGAGTGGAACATTCTTGAAATCGAGAACGCCTATTCTTGAAATCAAGAACGCCTATGCTTGAATCCAAGAATTTGTCTTCTTGAAACCAAGAATACGTTCTTCTTGGTAAGAGAGAAATTATTAAACCCGAGAACGATTTACTCTTGGAACCAAGAACGCCTATTCTTGAAACCAAGAACTCCTATGCTTGAATCCAAGAATGTTTCTTCTTGAATCCAAGAAGACTCATACTGAAATCAAGAATACTTATTTTCAAAAAAGTAGTCTCAAATCAAGAACACTCGTTCTTGATTTTAGTAAAACCGTTCTTGGCTCACTTTTGAGCACGGAAATACTGAAATCAAGAACGTTGAGAACGGTTTTTTTTCTCGGTGTATAACTTTTGAACGGAGAGTCGGATTTTGACAAATGACCCCTCATTCGACGGGTATTTTCAAAAGGAATACAACTAAAACATTGCGAGGGGGCATTTATCCCCACCGGCCCCAACAGCTCCAAATTTCGAAATTTTCACTTTTTCACTTTCACCGCTCTCTCTCCCAAGCCAATTGATTTTCTTAAAGTCTTGGTATGCAATCCTGTTAGTTTTCGCAATACCTTTCGATAGGTGTATTATTCATTATGATCGGACCATCACAGTAGATTTTCATTTCTTCGTGTATATATAGTAGTCGCCTTCGCACACTCTCCTGGTGCGCTTCGTCACTACATGGACTGCCGTCCATAGTGATTTAATTTAATTAATTTCGGAAATTTAACTTTTCCCAAAGCAAGTTAAAGTAATACTTCAACTTTCTATAAAATTCCTTTCCACAACTTTAACTAAACACTCTTCAAGGTGACGAGTTCATTGCTGACAACCATTTCTATAACTTCATTTGCACCATTAATTCGGCCAACGAAAACGACCCAAGTTTTTGGCCCGAGGAACATTTCAAATCATCTGACCATGATTGAAAAGTCACCGCTCCTTGTGTGCTCATCCCAGAATTTTCGACTCGGCCGCTAAACGAAATCCATTGGCATTGCAAATGCCTTTGGCCCAAGTGTCGTGCCATTTAAATGAGCTTGTCAAGTCGGATTTCAGCACATTAATCACCACGCACATCCAAAAGATACACAGATATACATACAAAAGAGATAAATATACAGGGACTAAAGGGGGCGGAGCCGAGACTCCGGTTAATGGCAAAAAGGATGGGGCGTGGCAGCTATTAGCACGATGACGGAGGCTAAACAAATTACTTGCGGACCCAATGACAGCTAGAAACAATTTCTGGCCACTTCGCCGGCGACAATCAACGTCTTTTGCAAGTTTATTGGATGGGGGGATTGGGGAAAGGGGATTGGGGTCATCGTCATAGCAGCTATCTCCATCTACACTTACCTGTCGTACTCGCGGTTGTCCTCGTCGCAGCGATTATCCTGCAGCTCCCGCCAACTCTTCCCGTGGCGACAGGTGGTGACCAGGACCATGTCGCGACCGTTGTGCAAATGGAAGAGCGAGTTGCGCGTCTCCGAACCGATGCCGTGCACGTAGCTGCAAAAATTAAGCAAAACGGTGGCTTTTAGTGGTGAGAGGTCAACGGAATTTAAAGGTATTTCGTGAAATTTTAATTTAAAAGAGGGGAAAAATAACATCGTTTTACTGGAGTTTTTATTAGCCGTTTCTATAAACATTATTTTACTGCTAAACTCAAGGTCTTTGTTGGTTATCTACAACTTAATGTTTGATTAACATTTTATCATATTCGCTTTTTATTGGATTCTAAAATTTCAACTGGTAGTTAAGCCTAGTACTGAGTACGACGAAAACTGCCAGCTAAACATAGGAGTAAGCGAGAGGCAAATAGGTAGCTAACGCCTTTAGCCGGGGACTTTTTCCACCTCGGTACTCAGTTGAGCTAAGGAAACAGTAAGGAAATACCAAAAAAATACTAGATTTAGCGGATGAATTCCGATGAACGCCTTTAGCCGCGGACCAAAGAATAAAAAATTTAATCTTTGGCTGTGTTTGTGCAATACATATTGCCATTCCAATAGCGAATTTAAAGCTTGCGACCCAGGCCGGCTCAACGTTTTGTAATATTTTAAAATTGGCGCCAGTTGATTTGTTGGCTGAGAGTAAGACCGTGCTACATGCATTGCGGATGAACTCCAAAAACTTTGGCCACACTAAAAGATTAATATTTTTCGACTAGTAAAACTCTTAGCCAAACTGAGTACTAGGCTTTAAAACAGTCTCATAAGCTAAGCTTGAGAACTTCTATATATGAACAATAGAAATCTTTAATTGCATACTTTTAGGATTATGAAATAAATAAAATTTAAAACAAGTGAATGGCTAATGCTAAAGTTGATAGTTTAAATATTATTATAATAAAATACCTACAAAAATATGAGCTATAAAAAATTTTAAATCAAATTAAAAGACTTTTACTTTCACATTTTTTGTATACTTATAAATAGAAAATGTATGCAAAATATATAGGACTGATGTTTAACTTTAACTTGTATTTGTTTTGAGAAGAGGTATCTTTAAAAATAGTTGCTTTCCACTAGTGCAACCATGCTTTATGGCCGACTATCACAGATATGGCCTCTGTGTATTTTCCTGCTCCCCCGGACATTTCACCTAAGCTCCGATTTTATTTGCCTTACATCGCCATCGCAATCGCAATCGGGAAATGCTTACACAAACACAAAAGCGAATGTGGCAGTGGCAGTTGGATTAAACTGCTCCGATTGTTCTTCAGTTGGCATAAACAGCGGCGTCAAAATCAATTGCAATAAACCTAGACCAACCGCAGGAAGGGAAGAGGAGGGACGATGGGATGATTCCGCTTAGATACGGCCAGAAATCTGAGCTGACCGTCAGCAGAGCAGCAATTGAAACAAAAGATGAACATTGCGACAGCGACACTAACAATGAAAGTCTCACACATACGGATACTCGGATACACGCACAACCACAAACAGGAGAGCACCCACACAAACACACTCGGCAACGGACTGTAAACGTTTTCAAGTGTATGGCTAAGCAAAATGGCAGCCATACAATGCACTTAGAAAAATAATTTATTAAAAAAATAAAAAAAACTATAAAAACCCAATTATTGAAAAATTATATTTAATAGATCTTAAATATTCTAAGTTTGTTTAATTAATTTTAAATTAACAGATCCTCTTAATTATCTTAAATGAATATAAAGAATTTAATTATTTCTTAATTAGTAAATCTCCCTATTAAATCTGTGTAAAAACATAAACTAATCCCTAAATCTCTATTTTCTTTGAAACATATTCACTCTATTTTTTTCTGAGTGTTTCAAGGAAGCTTTCGCATCAGCAGTCGAGCAGAAAAGGAGAAGCTTCTGGTGGAAAAAAAGAAACGAGTAGAATCCAGTGAGCAGGATAAGACTGTGCGGTTGTGTGTATGTGCAATTTCCTTCTGCTTGGCTTGCAGTTGAGCAAATTTCATACACAATGAGCCACGGCGGTGGTGCTCCACTTCACCTCTGCACCACCGAACTATCCATCCAGCCAAAAAGAAAACTAGACTAAACCAAACCAAACCAAACTCGGCCACACAGCAGATTGGGCAGCGCTGATTTCCGTTGTCCGACAACTGGGAGTATCCTTACTCCTTGCAGAAAAGCAAGGAACGTCTGCCTTCGATTCCTGGAATCCAAAGACGAAAGGACGGAAGGAGGACAAGGGGAGAGCGGCAGCTAAGCCATAAGTTATTTGATTTAATCAGCGTGTCGCTGCCGGCGGCGAATTCTGAGGTTACGGCTCCAGAATCGAAATGAAACACAATGTGTGCGTATCAATGGGCAGGGAAAACCACAAGCAACCACAATAAAAGTGAGGAAAAAAAATTGGGTCACTTCGATAGTAGTAGATTTATTTGCTTAAAGCACACCGAAATAAAATTCATTTCTTTATAAATAAACAACAGTATTTTTGCTTCAAAAAAAGGTGATTTAATAAGAGAAAATTCCAAATTAAAGGAAGCAAAAATTTAATTAAATTCCGCAATAATCAAAAATTACTACGAAAAATATTTTAAAGCCAAATTTTATACAATTAATATTTTTGAACTTTTTAGTTCCCCATCTAAAATATTTAAAAACACATTAAAATCTTCATTGTAAAAAAGTCAATTACTCCGAAATATTCCCACAAAAGAATTGCTTATTCACGGGAAAAAAAACCTAAATCTTTTCAAATTCCATCAATTCATTTGGAAATCAAATTGAAAACCAATTTGCCGCCATGGGACACGCTAATGATACGAATAAATTGATACAACAATTTATTTGTCAATTTATTTCCATAACAAATTTGATTGAATATGACAGCCGCGGCAGTAGAACCAACAACAACAACCCATCATCAATGGCCATGCAAGTGAATTGAAGGCCCGAAAAAACGAGATTGGCAAGGGACGAGCACATTTTATGTGGCATCAGGGATTCTGCAGATACTCGCTTTTTGTCGTGCGTCGTGTAAATTAATTTAGGACGCTGGCAGATGTACAAAGCGCAGAGACAGAGAGAGATGGCGGCCACATTAATATAAATTAAGTACAGGGCCTGGCAATAGCGGCTAAAAAAATGCTTTCAGCTCCCATTACCAACCGGCTATGGTCTGTTCTAATCTAATTTATGCCCTAAATGGCTCACTGGCCTGGAGTATCCGGGTATCTGGAGGTGGAAAAGGTCCATCCAAGAATTTAAAGGAGACATTACGTTGGTCCAATCGAGAAAATTAAGGGATGTCATATAAAAACCGGAGAACCATTGGTAAATTATTTACATTTGTCGAAATACTAGTTTAAAGTTAAAGAAGTTGTAATACATTTCATTCAAAAAAAAAATAAAAAAGAGCCTGAAAAGAAAGTTTGTAGAAATAAGATTAAAAACTCCTTTAAAATCAAATTAAAATACATTTCAGTATATATTTTCTGACTAAACGATTTAATTAAGAAACCGTAGAAAAAACAGACATATTTTACATATGGTTTAAGCGACAATTACTCCCCAACCGCAAAAAAATCGTGTATAAAATAAAAGTATATAACACACACCGTATTGACTTATGGTTTAACTTTAATCTCCCACTCTTTATTCGCAGCTATTGATAAAATGGTTTTCACCGGGGAAAAAACTCCCCATTCATAGCAAAAGAATGCCCTGAAATGGGTCAATTAAATATTGATTGGGCCGGGTCTGCAGGCCACAGCCGAAAAAAAGGAAAGGAGGAGCAGGATGAAGCCGGCCGGAGGGCAGAGGACCAAAAGCTGTCATCGCCAGTGCGACTCCAATGACAATAAAGTGCAATAACCAGACGGCGAAGGGACCATTGAACCGTTGGAACCTAGTGGAGTCCTGCGCTCCTGACCACTAATCCAAACATAATCTAAAATAATTGAGTATGCCCAGGACGCGAAGCTTTTTTCCCACCGCCCCCTCTTCTGTCCACTCTGAATAATTTATGCGCGCATTAAATAAGCTTAAAATGTGTGCGGGCCATGCTTTTTCTTTTAGTGTGCGAATAGAATGGGGGTTTCTGGGTATCTGGGTATCTAGTATCTGTGGGGCCCGCGGCCATTGTCTGCCACACTTCGGCTTACATGGGTTAATGCCTGGAACGGAATGGAACGGGACCCTTGTGCGTTGCCAAGAGGCTATGGCTTATGACATAAGTTTATGTTTTCCCTCACTGCAAAAAAAATCCCCACCGACCCAATCTCCTAGTTGTCGCCTTCGCGGCCAAATCGCCTGGGGTTATGCAGCATTTGCTCCGAACCGAAGCTTATCTATGCAACTTCAAAGCTTTTGTGATGGCCCCAGTCACATTCACATGAGCTCACAATCCATGGATGGCGAGCTAAGAAAACGTGGCGTATGCGCAATATCTGCAGCTCCTTCTTTTGTGTGTCTCGACCATAAAATGGTGTCGCAAAACTGCAACGAGACCGGAGTAGCAAAAAAAAAAGAGAAAAGAAACCGGAACAACAGAAGTGCTCCTGGCTTTAAATCAGTGCACGGCAACAGAAACAAGGACATCAGGGCATCACCGAGGAAGCTGAGACTCCAGGAAAATGCGGGAAAAAGAACGAAAGGTCGAAAGGGGGGGCATCGACCAGCGAACGTCAGGTAAATGCATTTTTACTCCAGCAAAATGAACGTAAATATAATTTTAAGTGCAGGAAGAAAAACAACAACAACAACGACAGCATCAATATCAACAAATTGGTTTACGCAAGAAAAATAAAAACAAAAAGCGGGGAGGACATGAAAATAAATATATTTTTAAAAGGTAAGTGCGGTCAGCTTTATGGAAATTTATAAGATTTTAAAAAAGTATTTAATTAAAGCGAGTTTAAGGCATTTATAAACTTTAAGCCAAGCTTAAATATCTAAATATTTTTACAGATTACAGATCCCATACTTTTTTTGTAGAGTTTCTGTTATATTTCAAAAGCCTGTTGTTTACATTGACTTTTCCTGCCCCATTTTCCCAACTTTCTGCAGTCAAACTGCAGCAACATCAGCTCATTGATGTCATCTGTAAATCCCAGCCCCTTTTGTTCCCTTTTTGGTTGTCTAATGTAAGCGACCATCGATCCGTATCAATCAGGGTCCGATTCTCGTCAAAGTTATTGCAGCTGGGCAATGCCTTTGTTATCCTTCGAGCTTCGGCTATCTGGCCTAAAGAGTGTCTATCCTAAGACCCGAAATGCGAATGTTATCAACGTTTTAGCTACACTCATAAAAATAAATTTCTAAATTTTGGAAATCTCGCCATTGAATCGGCCTACCTTTGAAAATAGAAAAAAAATTTCTTGTTATTAGAAAATTCGCCTTTGAATATAAAAAACCTTTCTTGATGGAAAAAATTCAAGAAATAATTTTTCTTAAAAATAGAAAAATGAAAATCTCATATGTTTGTTTTTGCCGTCGCAGCCCAAAAATTTGCTACAAATTTTAGGCCAAAAAAACCTTTGAATATATGGAAAAAATTACCCTAGAATATAAGAAAGTAGCCATTGACTTCCTTCGGCTTCCGAATGTTAGCGACAGAAAAAACGAAGTGGGACGAAGGGCCTACTCGGCCCGACTAATACCCGGCTACCGACTTCTCTGATCCCCCGAGCGTCAGTTGTGAAAAAAATTCGTGAGTGATGGACGTGATTTTCAAGCGGATAAGAGGTGAAGCCTTTTTCCGAATATTCAAAGGTATGTAAATATGTATATAATTTTTTGTATAGCGGGCGTACAATTGTATGTATGTAATTAAAGGATAAATTTCAAATCTCTTTACCAAGCGTATACCAATTTAGGTGAATTGTTTTTTAGCTAAGAGCTACGTACATACATACATTTGTACATAAATTTGTGGGTGTACAGTTCTATAATAACTTTATCTTATTACTCGCATTTTATTTATTTTTCAGAGTGAAAATACCTGCAGTTGCATCAGCCAAATAATTTGTTTGTCGAAGCTGTAATTTTGTTTTAAAACCTTCTAAGGTAAGAAAAATATGTTGTATTTGTTTGACATACTTATGTATGCATGTAAATATCTATGCATGTACGCGGCTCATCCGATCTGAAACCCGATTTTCAACCCTTTCATATTCTGCTCCTCTCTCTCGCTCGCTTGACCTACGCGACGCGACGTTTCTCTCTTCACCTTCTTAAAACTGACACGATCTGCCCTGCTTACATTCGGTCCATGGTGAAACTATACAAGGTGGTCTCGTCAGCTCTGCTGAGGACGTTAAATATGTTTACCTCTCTGTCTCTCTTAAGCGATAGAATGAGAAAGCTAGATAGAGACTGGCACAAATAACGTCCTCAAAAGAGGGCAGCTCTCGCGACGAGATCACCTTGTATAGTTCCACCATGATTCGGTCTCCCTTCGCGCAAAGGACTGTATGTAAATATATATGTATGTATGTACGTGCCTCTCCCGTGCCTCTCTCTCTCTGAAATTCGATTTTCAACCCTTCATTTTCTACCTGTCTTGCTCCTCTCTCTCGGTCGTCTGTCCAACGTGTTTGTATTTTGGCTATTATTAACATTACATTATTTCAAAAAAGTTGATTATCTAAAAACAAATCATTGATATCCCAATTTTTTTTTTTTTATAGATGAGGAAAGGCGAAGAAAATGGATCACCTTAGGTCATATGAAGTTCAACAGACATTGGGTAATAATAATGTTTTCTTGAGTCAAAAATGTGTTATTTAAAAATATTTAAATGTTAAGTGTTAAATGTTTTAAATGTAAATAAATATAATATGCAAAAGAAAAAACCAAGTTACATTTTATTTTTAGGGTTTCAGTGTTAATATAAAACTTCCTGTCGAGAAATATTATTTCTTAAATCAAGAAATAAAATTTCTTGAAATGAAATTTAAACAAGAAAGAATTTTTCTTGTTTAAAAGGTGCCTTTCTAAAAAACCCTTTCTTGTTTTAAGAAATTTAATTTCTTGAAACAAGAAACAAACCACCTTTGAAACAAGAATCGCCTTTCTTGTTTTAAGAAATATTTTTTCTTGTTTTTATGGTGGCTTTCTAAAAAACCCTTTCTTGTTTTTAGAAATTTAATTTCTTAAAACAAGAAATATTTTTTCTTGTTTTAATGGTGCCTTTCAAAAAAACCATTTCTTGAAACAAAGGTGAGGTCGCCTTTGGCAAAAATTCAAGAAAGAATTTTCTAGATTTTAAGGAAATTCTTCGATTTTTTTTTATGAGTGTACAAGTCGAGGGGGGGATTGGGATTGAAAGGGGGTGAGATGAAAAAATCTCTGGCACCGAGGCAAAATTCGAGCTCATACAATTTGCAGTTAGCTTTCGCCTTATGCTTGGCCAACTGATACAGGATACAGGCAGAGCCATCCCAGTTCTCCCTCTACAAACTCATATTCCCTGCAGGCATTTGTCGGCACTGAGAGAAAAATATCTTACAAATGAGGAATTTTGAGAAAGGCATTTTATAAGTATGAAGTAAAATATTAACAAGAAAATAAATGATTAAAAAATATTAAAAAAGAAATTTTTTTCCAGAAAAAGCTAATAATTTTGTAATATAAGTTTAAGTGTTTGAAATTTAAGCCTTTTTGCGAGTATTTAATGGATACATTAAAAATACTAAAATTTTAATAATTTGAAAAGAAATTTTTGTATTCAAATGTTAAGAATTTAAAGCTATTAATATAGTAAAATCGAATTCTAAATCAACTTTTATAATTTTAAAAGACATTTTCTCTCTCTGTGCGTGTGTGCTGGTTCATTGTTGTTGCGGCTTGTTTGGTTTTATTGTGTTTATATTTGGCTTAGGGCATCAATTTGCTTTTATGCAAGGACGACTACAACGACAAGGAGTTCAGGACTCCGGCTGTAAGCTAGCATTATCAGCAAAGTCAGGCTAGGCAGCAATAACACAAATATGTCTATATGCGTGTACTACGTAAGTTCAAACATACAAGTGGAGCATGTACAATGTTCTCGTGGGGAGAGAGGGCGGGCCAAAAGGGGGCGGAAGGGCATATTGCATTAGCTGCTACTACCACAATGTTGCATCGATTACATAATCCATTTACACAAATGGCATTTTAAATACATTATTGACTGAAGCGTGGAGCGCGTACTCTGAATAGGGTTTCAGCTTGCTCAACGTTGCGTATGCGTAATTTGCCGACTGCCAAAGAGCTGAGCAAACTCAAACGATGTGCATGGGCGGTAATATATACACATTTAATGTCCGTCCGCCTTGTTCTATTTAACAGATGTTTAATTAGTGCACAAATGCAATTATTGCAACTTGATAACTTCGTAAAGGCCAAGCTTAAGCGGCTTAAAATGGTTTACACATTGAAGTCTGATATTGTGATAACGCTAAAGCTCAGATTACCCATCGTTTAATTAAGCATTCCTGAAGTCTATTGATACGGCAAATTCTCAGACTATTTAATTATTTCCAGGCTTTAAAATCGCTTCAGCGTTGATTGAAATACAGATAAATGTCGAGTATTTAAATTAAAGAAAACCATTTAATTGTCACCAGCTTAATATTTCACTACAGCAGATTAAAATGAAATACTCAATATTTAATTTAATTAAATAACTATAAAAACACAGCAAGGGACTTAAAGACAATATTAATTTTGTTATATTTAAATCATCTTTTTAATAGTTTGCATAGGTTAAAAAACTCTATTTTAGAGATAAAACTATCCGAAAATTTATTGAAATTACTTATAAATTTCCAATAACTGTGTATAGAAATTTCACTTATGACCACTTGATTTCGTCCAAAAATATATCCCATTAAATACTTTTGCAGTTGACACACGTCTCTTGATAATGAGGCATTTGAGTTTGAAGTGGCGCCACCTGCCGCAGAGATATATGCATTCGAGTGGAGCACACTTTGTTCAAACAGAAAAAATATCTCAACAAACATCAACAGCATTACCATAGCCATCATTATAATGATGACGATGGGCAGAAAAGTGCACACACGCCACAAAGTCATTTACCGAACCGAATCGTTTGGCACGTTTCGGCCCACAGATGGCGTATTGATGATGATTATATATGTATGCACAACAATCGCATGAGGACGATGATGAGGATGCAATATATGGTGAGGCAATGCCTGGCATCGATAAATTGAAGTGCCTGCACTGCAAAGCAGAAGCCGAAAACGCTCATTAATAAATATTAAGTCATAATTAAACAGTTGCACTCTGGTTTGGTGCCTGGTGCAAATCGAAGCTTTTGATGAAATTTAACAAAATATTTAAAACTTCACGCCACCCGGTAGGCAGCTGCAAAATGCAGGCGAAATCAAGCAGCAAGAAAATGCACACGGAAACTAAAACTGAAACAGAAAAAAAAACGAATAGAAATGGAGAGTAGAAGAAGCCAAGGAAGGAAAACCAAGCAGCCAAGCAGCAGACAAAACCACAGGCACTAAAGATACCGAAAAGTAATGGAACTAATTGCCCGACGAAAGGCGGCCAGCCTATCAGTCAAAAGCCCATTGTTGTGCCCCACGAAAGTGAAAATGAAAATGGGAATGGAAATGCCAATGCCAAGCTCAAAGCCAAACTAGCTGCCCATAATAATTGGAGCAACGGCAACTTACAACTTGCAACCTGCAACCAGCAACTAGCAACAATATAAAAGCAAGTGCTTGGCGCGCAGGCGCCGACAGTTGAAATTCGCCAGCAGCCACGAAACGAGCTACTCTTAATTCGAAAATTGCTAAAAAATATTCAAATCGAGCTGCTATTGCGGTGGGAATATTCAAGTTTATTGGCCAACCAAACATGAGGAAGCATTGCGTAAGTAAGCCAGAAATGGATTACCAAGGAAGTGTGAACACATCAGTTAATTGACATTGTCAACCGATTTGCATCCGGTTGGATTTGGACTACTTCATCAACTCTCATAGATCAATTGGATTTGGCTGCTGTTGCTGCTAAAGCTGATTTTAATCAGAGGCGAGCAGCAGGCAGAGGATCACAGGTGAGTTGGAGTCCACTAAAATATTAATAAGTGGGCTTGAATAATTTACCGAAAAGAAACAATGTTTGACTAGTGTTAAAAAGTGTTCAAATTAAATTCAAAGCATAAAAGATATCTGTGATTAAGCCAACAAATTGGCTGTTACAAATTTATTTTTTTGGTACACTACCATGTTTTTAATCTTTTAATCCATTCACACCCATTTAAAGATAGATATCGTTTAATAGTCTACAAAAATTAAATACGTTTGAATTCGAAACTTTAGTAATTCAGTTAACCAGATGGCCACTTAAAATTTATTGCAGACACTTTTTATTTATATTATACGCCTTTTTTCTTTCATTATCACATTACTATATTTTCAATGAACCTGAAATCCTTTTACACCCATTTAGTGATTGATATATATCATGCCGTTTTAATAGTCTCAAAAAGAAAATACGTTTGAATTTGAAACATAAAAAAGTTCAAATATATTTCAGACACTTTTTATGTTATACGCTTTTTCTTTTATTACCATAGGCTTATAATGAACATCAAATCCTTTCACACCCATTTAAAGATTAATGTATATCATGTCGTTTTAATAGTTTTAACAGTAAACTTAGTTTGAATTCGATAGGTAAAAGAGTTCAGTGATTCAGATAACCAATTGGCCATAACAAATGTTTGAAATGTGAAACCGTAAATCATTTTAAACACGCCTTATATTACTCGCTGTTTTTCTTCAATCAACACATTTTATAGTCTCTTAATGAACCCCAAATCCTTTCTTATCCATTCAAAGATTGTTATAATCAGCTAATAAAACGAGTCAAATGAATTTCGCAACTTTTACTTTCACTTTTCGGCGCACAGAATCCAGCGTCGTTTTATGTGGCAAGAGATGAACAACTCGGTGATGGGCGGCGTGCTGGGACGGATGTTCAACGGAGCCCGGGCGATGAAGTCGATGTTCACGGACCTCATGCCGAGCACGGCGGGACATGGCCAAAAGTCCACCATGGACTTCCTGCCCACCGAGATGACGCGAGTGAAGTACATTATTCGCAATCCGCACAACAATAAGCCCATGAAGATCATCAAAATGCGACCGACGGCAAAGAAGGTGATTAAACTCCGGAGACCCATACCAAAACCGACTGTCACGGAATCCACGGTGATGATAGCTCACTCGGTGCACAATAATGATCATCGGATGAGGCTGTTGGAAAAGGAGCAGGAACTCATAGCCGAGGGAAAGGCGCCGATGACCAGCGATGAGGCGATAATGGAGAAGTACTTCAAGAAGCGACCAAGGGGAGGTTCCTCCTCCAACGAAGTGGTTTCCGGCAAGATCATGGAGTACCAGAGCTGGAAGCCTGTTTACAAGGCTGGCGAAACGCCCTCATCTTTTGTGACCCTCAGACCCCAGGCTTTGACTCATTTGCACACGGATATATCCTCCAGTGGGGATCATGAAATGTTGCCCAAACCCGAGAAGCTGGTGAGCTACGAATATGAGAGGGAGGAGGACGAAGAGGAGGCGGAGAACGAGGTGGCCAAGCAAATGGGTCACCGCTACGAGGTCACCGAGCATACGGGCGAGGCGAGTGGTGAAGTGGAGACCGTCGAGGCGGCGGTGGCCTCCATGGAGAGTGGCTTTGTGCCCAGTCAGGGAATGACTTTCAGGTCGCAGCATCATCATCATCATCAGCCATCCCCAGTGGTGGCCCCGCAACAACATCATAATCCCAGGCCCAGGAATCGCAGTCCCTCCAGCACCACTACTTCCACCACCAGCACCACAGAAGCACCCAACTACCCAGCTTCCTTCCTGAAGAAATTCCGCGAACGGGAGGCCACCACCACGCGGAGACCCCGCAAGCAGCAGCAGCAGCACAAGGAGCTCTATGTGATCCGTGAATCCGAGGACAGCACGGAGTTAAGCAGCACCACGCCACCATCCTTTGCGATGAGCAGCCTAAGGGCTCGCCTTCAGGATCAGCAGCGCCACCAGAAGCAGCAGCACAAACAGCAGCTGGAGGATGAGGAGCTGGAGGCCGCCCTCGTGGACGCCATGCACGGCGAGAAGTGGCCATCGGAGGTGGCCCACAGCGGCTTCCAGCTGGCCAGTCCCATTGGGCCAAGTGCCGTGGCCTTCGAGCAGCCGCTGGCCAAGGCGCCAAGGGGTCAGTACAAGCGGCAGACGCGCGATAATATCCGGCAACGTGGAACTGTCAAGTTTGGCGATAAACCCAACTACGACGAAGCCTGAGAGGATCGGCTTATGCAGTTAGCCACCAAAGAGCCAACGGCTGCAGTTAAGCTACACGGAGAGAAAAAAAAACAGCTAACCAAATTAAGTAGTTTTGTAGGCAAAGTCTACATTCTAAAGAAACTTTTGGCTTTTATTTATTTCTATATGACAAATCGAAACTTTTTATTCAGTACAAAAATGTACAAGTCAAAATTGTAACAAGTTTTATTTAAAGACTAGCTTAGAAAAACAAACACAATTTGTTACAAAATTACAAAATAAACTAGGAAAACTTTATTTAACAACTAAAAGATATGATTTATTATTTCTAGGGGTTCTTAATAGAGCTTAAAAGAGCTAAAGAATATAAAAAAAAAACGTTGAATTTATCAAATCGATATTGTGAAGATATCGAAAACATCGATAACTCTTAAGCCCTTCTTCTTAAACACAAAAAAACATTTATCACTATAATAAACCAACCCAATTGTTAACGGCACTTAAACTTTCTTTAATTGCCTTATCTAAGATTTAAGTTTATGGTTTTTCGCCAAGTAAAAGTCAGCTGAAAACATTTGAACAACAATTTCCCATCGAGTTGCATTTCATTTCGCGAGGCGGAGTCAATGCACCCATGGCACGCAATAATATGCAGCATGCCGCAACGGACATAAAACTCTGGAAATATTTTGACTTTTAATTAATGCCAGTTAGCGATTTTCCCTCGGATATATATATATCTAAGTGTGTGTGTGTTATCGCATTCCGCTTAGCAGCTTGCATTTGACAACTAATTTAAAAAGTTTACATGGCCGACAGCCTTGGGCCCTGAAATCGAGAGCATTGCGGCGAAGTGGGTTAAACCTGCTATAAATTCCAGAACAAAAGCCATAAGACACACTGTGCGACCGAGATGGGGATAGTGGGAAGGGGCAGAGAAAGAGAAAGAGATGGGACGAACAAAGAAAAGCGCATTTCCACTTTGAGTGCGGTTTTTAATCAACTAAAGCAGCGCCAACAACAAACTGCAACTGAATTAAAAAACTCAGAATGCCCACTAAAACCCGAGGAAGGGGATGAAAAATAGGGGGAAGGGGGATGGGGATTGGAAAGCAAAGGGGAAAACGCGATAAACTTTAAATGAAACGACATGTCGGCTTAACGGGCGAGGGAAAATGCACGGGAAACGCCGGAAAAACTCGGGGAGCCTACAGATTGGAATTGCCGATAGCCAACAATGCAATGAAAACGAGATAAGGAAATTCTAGATTACGGAATGGGACAGCGAAAATAAAAAGGAAAGTGGTAGGGGAATTATTCAAGTTTAATTTAAAGGATTAAGTATATTTGTAACGAAGATAAACATTTATAGATGAAGAACAACATCTAGAAACTTTAAGATACAAAAAGAAAAACCAACTTTTATACTTTCAATGATTTATTTTCCAATGAAAATAATTATTTTAGCACATTTTAAGAAATGCCAAAAAATTAATCTCTCAGAAGACATTAAAATTATATTCTTCGGAAAACCCCAACCGAAGCAAAGTTTTCTCCTTTATTAAGCACATTTTCCTTTGCGAAAAACTTTTGCAAACTTTCGTTTATCAAGAAATTAGATGCTTTATGGACTTTCAATACTTATGCGGTTATTCCACTACATTGGTCGGCTCATTCATTAGAACAATTTTTTCTCAGCCTATACGATTTTACGTAGGTGCGAGCAAGACAGATATATGTCAGCTGCAATGAGCAATTAATGAGCAAAATTTTAAAAACCGAAGGCCACCATTTTTTTTTTTTTTGTATGAGCAAAATTGAATCTAAAAAGTACAATTTTGCTCATTTATTAGAGCTACTGTAAATCGGATCTTGCTCGCACCTACGTAAAATCGTATGGGCTGAGAAAAAATTGTACTAATGAATGATCCGAACGATGTAGTGGAATAACCGCATTATAGAAGATTTTTCTATGCAATAGAATTTGCTCGCTCTCTAAAAAATATGATTACAAATCTAGAGGAAATTCAAATTTGCCAGCGAAAATCAGAATCAAGATGAACCCACTTGGAGACCAGGTGAACAGCTAACAATAACAAATTGTGTGTGGGCCACGCCCACCGGCGAAGTCTCACCTACGCCCACCGAAAACAGCAAACGAAAGTTGGTAAGTTGAATTTGCCTTTTTTCAAGGACATTATTGGAACACGACTGGGCTGACTTCTTTTTTTTTGTGCATATTTAGGGGGGTTCGAAGTCAGGGCCCATGTCGACCTATACACCTGTCCACTGGCAGGAAACGTGTCCTCTGCCGCCACCCACCAACGCCCACTGTCCCACTGTCCTCAGCCACGCCCCCTAATCCCGCCCTGAAGGCTGTCCCACTGTCGAGTGCACCAAATACAAATTAGAATTTAAATGAACAATGCAACCAGAGCGGAAGTTTCTGCGAGTGTGAGTGGATTTCTATAAAGGTGTGTGGGTATTAGTGGGTTTTAGCTAAATGCACTGAGAAAAATTACAACCATGTGTGTATAATTGAATAGCCCGTACAAAATTGGTTTTCAGTTATTTTTATGTTTTAATAAATATTAGATGCTTTCGATAAAAAAAATTAAATTTTTCTACCTGATTTATTTACAACAATTATATAAAATTAAATTTTTTCTAGCCTTAATTTCAAAATATATTTGAATTTTTTTAAATTTTTCATAATACACATCAGATCTATTTACCAGTTTATAACATTAAATAAAATTTTTAATTATACAACAAGTTTAAAGAATTTTGAGAGCTATTTTTTCTCAGTGCTACTGAGTTCAGTGTGTATATGTGAGGTCGACATTATGGGTGACATTGCACGTAGATTGGAGCGCGTGGGGCAGCAACATCAACAACAACTCCTGGCAATGGCCATAATGTCATACAGTTTGGCGCGTATTTTTTGCTTTTACCTCCTACGACTCTTTACCCAACTTTGCTGCTCCTTCTTCGCCTCCTTGCCCCCCTTCAACGTGCTCTTTTTGGGGTATTTCGTGAAAACTGAAAATAAGAGGTAGAAAAAAGTTTCGAGATTTCTGCACTGAAGGCGATGTCAAACTGGGTCGCTTCAACTCAGCGGCGAAATGTCAAACGGATTAATGGAATTTCCCAACGAATTTTTTTTCGGAAAAATGCAACGACTTCGAGAGAAAGGAAATTGAAAATGATCATTGGTATAAATTAAGTTAAAAATGTACTCAATGAGAAAACGTGAAGGGGATTGATGGAATTTCACCTGGAAACACAACAATATATTTGTATATCTTAACGATTAAATTTCTAATCAAGAACTACTGTATAAAATGGCAGCCAAAAAAACGGGAAGATGAAACAGTAGCAAAAACGGTTTGACACAGAAATCTGAAATTAAAAACCGAAAATCGGAAATGTTTCGAATTGTGTTGTAACTAAATTTAATTTAACTGCAATAAAATATTTATTAAAGATTTTAAAAAATTAAATTTAATGTAATGAATTGACATAACGATAACATGTTGTGAAATTCAATTAGAAAACCAAAAGTTTCGATGAGGTAAGTCCACAATAAACCCATTGTTACCCATTTAATACTGAGGAGAATGGCAAACAGAACGCAAATTGATTACGCAAGGCGACTACGAACGACAATCCTTTTGGCCACTCTTTTTGAAACGGAAATGCACGGGGATTCCTTTACTGCGCCAAGTCGACCAAGTCAATTAAATATTGAAAGGGCGTTTAAATTGTTGCCCGGTTAACTGGCGAAACGGTTAAACATGAGCTGGGTGCATTCGCCACTCATTCATTAATTCGCCTGGCACCTTCTGGCGACCTACTGCTGTCAAAGTTGAATTTATTAAAGCGAAATTCTTTTAATTAAAAACGTGACAGGTGAAAAATGGCCAAATGGGCGGCAATGGATGGGAGTTGCACATCAAACTGAATCGTGTCCGAATTATATTAATTATGAATTTGGACAATTCGGCTGAAGCCAATTTCGGTTGTGTCCTCAAAAAGCGAGCATTGAACTCGCAATCAACTAAGCCAGCATATATAGAGGTATATATAGCACAAGCTGATTCATTTGCCGTCGAAAGCATTTTGTTTGCTTTCCGAAAAACCCCCTCCCACATACACAGAAATCTAGGGGGCGTGGGGTTGGAAAACAGAACAGAAAGGCTGGCGGGTAACAACGATAGCTCTCTGGCATCGTTTAGCGTCAGGTTGCGAAGTGCGAAATGTTCCCAGCTCGCTAAAAAATTAAATATTCAAATATAGCTGTTGCCACAGCTCACAGGATGAATCCAAAGCTGGGGGAAAAGCAGGGAAAGGAGCGGAATGCAAGAGGAGACGTTTAGTCGGGGATCCAGAGCTTTCGAACTAAAGAGGGACACGAGCAGTTGCACACACATCCATATGCATGTGTGGAGGAGGCGACAAAAGTGTTCCAGTTGATATGGTTTAATATTTCTGAAAATGTCCAAAATTCATGATAATATTTTGCTGATGAAAATGATACCAGGAAACATCATAGATGTAATCATGTATGAGACAATGCTCTGAAATTCCTATTACAACTTTATTTTATTCATATTTTTTTATATTTTTTATGTAAATGAATCATGATCATTATTAAGTTATACGCATTATATTTTTAAAAATACTGAACGCAAGTCGTTGGCTTTTTATCACTAAGGCTGGTTTTTTTGAATTCCATTACTCAAATTTCTGAGTATATCTGATAACTCCACACAACTGGTACTGCCATTCTGAGAGAACTTTGCCAGAGTAGTTAAATCAGTCATAAGAAAACCGTTGTCGTGAACTAACAAAATAAATAAGCTATCCTTGTGTCCTTGAAGTGAGCATTTAGTTTTGAGATCGAGTATATATCCTTTATATGGATGACTAATTATTTAGACTGAAACAACGATCGACCTTAAAAAACAAAAGTTTTTTTAGTTCAGAAAAATAACAGATTTCTTTCTTTATTTAAA